TGCAGGTGCCCCATCCTCACGGTCCACCATCCCGTGAAGAGCAACTCTGGACAGGGCACAGGCTATGAGCAGGTTGGGTAGATCGCTGGTTTGGAGAGCAGAGAGCAAGACGAGCTTCACTTACTGTGGCTACAGTATAGTCTTCCTTTTGTCTGTTTTTCACCGTCCCCTTCAGCATTCATTGTAATTTTCAGGATGAGCTCTGGCCCAATTTCTATCCTGACACAACATCCATTTTCCAGTAGCAAAGAAACAAAGGCATTGTGAAGTGCTTTACATTACGTTCAGGGTCCTCAAAGTATCCTCTACACCAGAGAAAGGGCAACGTTTTTCCTACAAAACATTTGGAAAATGGGGTATTCTTTGCCTGTAACATAAGCCTTTAATTGTTTTGTCAGGGTGAATGAGAGGACATCTAAAATGGACCTGGTTTGCAGGGACTGGATGCCCAACCTGCATATAGCAAGTTACAATCCAGCCCAAGTTAGTTCTGACCAAGAAGCTGTCACCAGCTAATTGCTGCCTGGCATTTTGTGTAAAATGCTGGCTTTGTGGCAGAACCCGTTCAGCTCACTAAGACAATTACTAATTACCCCACGTATTAATATAATTTGCATTATATAGAAGTCTCAGAAAAGAAACTCGTCTCGAAAGACACAAAGAATAAAATAGCGTAGGAGCAGTCCTCATGACTTTGAGTAGAATCGGTGTATTTTTGATTCACAGAGAAATGTGCGCTGTTACATGCTTGTTTACGCTTTGTAAGTTTAACATGCTTTTCTGAAAATAATTATTTTTCAGAAACTCTGATCACCATGACATAGTTGCTTTTGTTGTTTTACTTTCAAAATATTTTCAGACTGAAAAGGACAGCTGCTTGGGGAGAAATACATAACTTTTGGAAATTATTTCATTGTTCTGCAAGCTAACATCAGAAATCATACAGGGCAAGTTTATGGAAGCAGTGGCTTCACATAGACCTTGTTCAATGTGTTGTATACTTTCTATGTTATTCTTGGCAAAATACTGCTGGCTGATAGACTGCTTTGGGAGTCTGCGTTTTGTGCCTTGAAGAAGTAGGAGAAAATATTGTTTGCTTTTTAAAAGGAATATGGCATTGTGATAACATCTAACATTTTAAAACTTGGACGTCATATAGGCACCTCTATCTATATACATTCAGGGGGTTCAACAGAACGATACACATCAAAGTATGCTTGTTATGTATAGGAACATGTATTTCTTGAACAGCAGTCTCTCACACTGTTGATATTGCAGGGGAAAGAATTGTTTGACCAGCAAGTAGCAAGAATTGAAGATGTATTCATAAAACCTATCTGTGGAACCGATGTTAAAAGAATGCTCTCAAAAGGCGCTGTCCAGGTCTGTTATGACATGACATTAAAACAAATAATCTGAAGTGCTTCTCTGGCTACCAAGTTTCTGGTTTTTGTGCTACAGTAGCTCTCCCTTCTCCCGAGCCTTCCTTTTCTCAGAAGAGACAGACCTTCAGCTCCAGTACTGTTCATCTCCACGCTCGTTTTGGTTTTCCCCTGATGTTTTCATGCATAGTCAGCTAGTTGTCAGGTCTGTCAATTGCCACTGTCTTGCTGTCCCATTTCCACTTCCCAAAATGCACGCAGCATTCGTGGCCTGCATCTTTACAGATGCGCTCCAAAGACTTGTTCCCTGACAGTGACTTGCCTCCTTAACTACTGCTTCAGGACAAGGAGAGGTAAAGAGCCACAGATGGCAGGAACAGGGGGGTCCTGAAAGGAAAGCAGCACCAAGTGGTTTCCATAAGCCCAACTCACTGCTGCTAATGGCTTGTCTGCTAAAATTCTACACTAACAGGGCCATGTGACTGTTAAGTACCTGTAAATTCACCAGAAGTCTAAATTTTACTCCTTGCATTATTTGTCTAAATGTTA